TAAAGATGGGGTTTCACCATATTGGTCAGGCTGGTCTCAAACTACTGACCTCAGGTGATCCGCCCACCTCAGCCTCCCAAAGTGCTGGGATTACAGGCATGAACCACCATGCCCGGCTACCCGGCTGATCTTTTAATTTAAAAAACTTTTTTTTCTTTTTTGTAGAGATGAGGTCTCGCTATGCTGACCAGGCTAGTGTCAAACCCCTGGCCTCAAGTGATCCTGCTGCCTTGGCCTCACAAAGCACTGGGATTGATTAAAGGTGTGAGCCACTACACCCAGCCTCATATTTATTATTAAAAGCATCTATCAGTTTCATCTTGTTTAACTCACATTTTAACAGGTATTGTTTCAAAAACTTACTTTAAAACTAAATGTAAATTAGCAGAGAGCCGAGGATCTGTAAATTGTGTTGTTCTGTTGTTATGGTCAACGAAATAAACTCTGCCTGTTGCCGTATTACGGATCTCCCATCCAGGAGGCAATGGACCAAGCTCTTCACAATTGATGTTGCTAAGATCCCTGCAAAAACAAATATAAAATAAAAAATACCTCATTGCTGGCCCTGCTGAACCAAGCAAGTGTAAATGACACAGAACAATTCCACAAAGTCTGAGAAAATGTATTGTTTCAGAAACTTGAGATGTTCAGCTGGAATCTTTAACTCCCAATGGTTTAAACAAACTCGCATCTTCAAAACCCAATCCATAAATGGCTCAGAAAAACTTATCACGTAGCCTACATTTTTTAGTAAGTTCCAAGGCTTTAATGTAATACAGATTTAAATTAATATAAAATCAATCACAGTATCTGCCAACATAAACTGTATTTCAATACTTGTTTGACAGGAAATAATTTTGTTAAGTGTCAGTGATATAAGGAATTAAATGTTTTCTAAAATTTCCCTTCATTTCTTTCTTTACTATAACATAAAATTTGTGAAAAATGTCCATTCCACGATTAATTTTAAGCTCTCCAACAAAGCAAAACTGGAAATGTTACTGAAATTATGATCCTGAAAATAATCAGTGTATTTTTAAAGAATAAACTGCAATTCTAAAATCTGTAAAGTTAGTCAATAAAGAACTGTTAAAGATACATTACCAAGAATGCTCTAAGAGTTACCACTGCAATAAGAGAAAAGCTAAGATTTTTAATAGACCAAAGAATACTGTTACTATATTACACATTCTTAAAATACGAGTATATATAGACAAGGATTTATAGGGCCTTAAAGAATGAGTAAGGAGCTTCTATGTTGGTGAACACACTGAGGGACTGTGGGGGTAGCCTGCCCAGAGAGGGTATGGTAGCTCCTTGCCCTCCCCCCATACTGTGCCCTAAGCATTGCTTCCATTTGGCTGTTCCAGACTTGTAACCTCTATAATAAACTGGCAAGAGAACTGCAAATTTTTATCCTCTACACTGTTAGAACCAAATCTTTCAGTGAATCTCCCAAAGTGTTGAAATTGCTGTTGTCATTCACCAGAAGAGTAAAGTCACTGCCCTTGGTGACGTAACTGAGGCTGCATTTAAGAATGTATGATAGGCTCAGGTAATCCACCCAACTCAGCTTCCCAGAGAGCTGGGACTAGAGGTGTGCACCACTACACCCAGCTATTTTTTAAACTTTTAGTAGAGATGAAGTTTTGCCATGTTGCCCAGGCTATCTTAAATGAACAGTTTAGGCTACCAGAGCCATCTGTAAATACCAAAGAAATGACATACCCTGAAAGTGATCAAACAAAGTCAAGAATCTGAGACAGTAAAAGTGTTTCCGTGGTCCTCTTTTTATTAAAAAAAAAAGAAGAAGAAAATAAAAGCAGCATGTTTAATATAAATTTGTAACAGACAATTATAAATAATGACAAATTTCATCAAAATCACATTTTAAAAGTTAAACTAGAAAGATGTTTTTCCTGAGAAGACCTCTCCTTGGTCATGGTGAAACACAATGATGGGCACACAGTGACCTAAATTTGCCGAAGCAATGATTCTGACTTCTGTTATAGGTGTTCCAAGAGACTCCTGCTACATAACAGCTAAAGTGTGGGGAAAAAACACGATTTGAGACACTGCTAGTCTCAAAAGAGGCAGGGGAAAGTTCCAAGAATCCTCCTCAAATTAAAAAAAAAAAAAAAAAGGGAGTGGGGGGACTGAGTGAAGGTGGTACGTGAGTGGCAGGTAGGCAGAGGGTCAGGCTAGCAGCAAGACTGGTATAGGAAACCTGAAGCTTCCTCTGCAAGCTGAGAACTCAAAGAAGGAATGAAGTGATTCCAGGAAAATATACTAAATTCCCACTGCAGGTCCACAGAACTCCCAACTAATTCAGTTCAAAGAATATATTCAGCATCTAAGATCACCAAACACCTCAGAAAAAAGAAAAAAAAAAAAAAGCCACTATGACAGAGTCCACAGCAGACTCAACACACAGCCAGCAGCAGAGTCAACAAAAAAATCCCAGAATTAGGTCCCCAAAGACTGTTAGAGACCAAAAAGAAAACAGTTGTGATATATAATGTTTTCAAAAATAAAAAAGTACAATCACAAAGATGAGCTATCAAAGAAAAATTACTAGGAATAAACAAAAAAAATATGTATTATTTTGAGACAGGTTCTTACTGCTGCCCAGGCTGGAATGCAGTGGTGTGATCACGGCTTACTGCAGCCAGTGGTGTGATCACAGCTTACTGCAGCCTCAACCTTCCCAGGCTCAGGTAATCCTCCCAACTCAGCCTCCTGAGTAGCTGGTACTATAGGCATACACCACCACACCCGGCTAATTTTTAAATTTTGTAGAGATGAAGTTTTGCTATGTTGCCCAGGCTGATCTCAAACTTCTGGACTCAAGTGATCCATCCAATTCAGCCTCCCAAAGTGCTGGGATTACAGGCATGGGCCATTGCACCAGCCCCAAATAGATTTTTTTAATGGTTTAGATATAAAAAACAGGATCTGGAGGCTATTATCCTTAGCAAACTAAAGCAGGAACGGAAAACCAAATACTGCATGTTCTCATTTATAAGTGGGCGCTAAATGATGAGAACACATGGACACATAGAGAGGAACAACAGATACTGTGGCCTATGGGAGGGTGGAGGGTAGGAGGAGGGAGAGGACCAGCAAAAGTAACTAATGAGTACTAGGCTTAGTATCTGGGTGACAAAATCATCTGTACAACAAACCCCCATGACACAAGTTTACCTATAACAAACCTGCACATGTACCCCTGCACTTTAAAGTTAAAAACAAGAAAAACAATTATTGAAATCAAAAAATGAACAATTAACAATTATACTGATAAAATGTAGAATTTCATTTCGGGTCATTTTGTTTAGAATTTTATAAATCTATAGCCACACATGGGAGAGTGATAATGCACTGATTAAAAGAGCAAAAAAGTGGAAATAATCTATATGTCTCATGGGGAGCTGGTTTAAAAAAATGGAATGTTGGCTGGGCGCAGTGGCTCACACCTGTAATCCCAGCACTTTGGGAGGCTGAGGCAGGCGGATCACAAGGTCAGGAGTTCAATACCAGCCTGGCTAACATACTGAAACTCCATCTATACTAAAAATGCAAAAATTAGTCAGGCATGCTGGCACATGCCTGTAGTCCCAGCTACTTGGGAGGCTGAGGCAGGCGAATCGCTTGAACCCAGAAGTGGAGGTTGCAGTGAGCTGAGATCGCACCATTGCACTCCAGCTTGGGCGACAGAACAAGGCTTCAAAAAAAAAAAAAAAAAAGGAATGTTATACAGTCATACAAAGTAATACAGATCTGTATTTCAAGACTATAGTCAATCTGTAACATAACAAATAACAAGGCATTAATCATTGTTTTAAAGATAAATGTAAAACATGATGAAATGAGATTTCTTGAATAAATCTAGGTATCCTGGATATCTTTATAAAGTTTGTTTAAAAGAGTCTGACTTTGTTTTAAAGTTTGTTTTAAAGAGTCTGACTTTGCAATTTTATAAATATCTTTGAATAGTGATATTCTAACACAATTTAAATATTTATAGTATACTTTGATAAAAGATCCTCCATACTTACTAAAGGATCCTCCAAAAGATAAAAGTTTTTAAGGTAATAATGGGGGATAGTGAATAAGAAAAATAATCCCGAGTGTTACTTCATAAAATCATCATTCAAAGTATATGTCAATATTTAACATGAATATTCTTAATGCTTCACAGAAATCCTTTACTACTCATTAATGAAAAACTGACATGTGTCCTCTGGAATAAGTGCCTATTACCAACAGTGGTGCTCAAAGCTATCTCAATTTCAATTTCTGTTGCCAGCTTATATGCTATTCTTTCAACAGATAATTCAAAGTCAACTTTCTCACTATTGTAAATCATCTAGTTTTAGATTTTTAAAAATCATGATCATTTAGATTTTAAAAAATCATGATCATTTTTATTCTATGCATTTCCTACAAATGATTTCTAATTATTTTAAAGGAAAGATTATTATTGACCTTCAACTAGATAAACAGAATCCAAAAAACTTTTATTTATATAATAAAACTGATTTTGAGAAGTTAGGCCCTTGGGTTATTTTAAAGTAAGTATTTTTATGTAAGCTTTAAAAAAATGTAAAAGTTCCTCCCCACTACTTTTTATTTATTATTATTTTTTTAGAGATGGAGTCTTGCTCTGTTGCCAGGCTGGAGTGCAATGGCACAATCCAGGCTTACCACAACCTCTGCCTCCCACATTCAAGCAATTCTGCCTCAGCCTCCTGAGTAGTTGGGATTACAGCCACGTGCTACCACACCTGACTAATTTTGTATTTTTCTTAGAGACAGGTTTTTACCACGTTGTCCAGGCTGGATCGAACGCCTGATCTCGTGATCCTCCAGCCTCAGCCTCCCAAAATGCTGGGATTACAGGTGATAGCCACTGTGCCCGGCCCCCACTACTTTTTAAAACAGCTTATACTGTCAAGACATAGCAATGGCAAAAATGATAATGAGTTAAAGCATATTCCCTTGGTTGCCACCCTCAAAGGATTCTGAACTCTGTAACACAAAGGAAGATATTTTCATTATCACAGTTTTATTTATAAATATAGAGTATCAAAGCAACCCAAGACTAGCCAGTCACATCTGTTTTTAATTCAAATACACAATAGAGTCCTGAGTATAAGCTTTAGGAAGAAAAAAACAATGCTCTGTGGGTTGTTTTGGGGGATTTGTTTTGTTTTGGAGGAGGGAGGCTGCTGTGCTTATAAAATATCCACATCCTACAAATCCTGTGTATGTGCAACATACAAAGTTGCTTTAGAATTTGATTTAGAATTCAAGCTTTTTTGCAGTTTCGACTGGACTACTTGGTACTTTGCATGTATTCATTAAAAAGTAACTGAAAGGGCCAAGCATGGTAGCTCATGCCTCTAATGCCAGCACTTTGGGAGGCGGAGGTGGGCAGACTGCTTGAGCTCAGGAGTTAAGAGGCTAGCCTGGGCAACATGGCGAAACCCCATCTCTACTAAAAATGTAAAAATTACCAGGGTGTAGAGGTACATGCCTGTAGTCCCACCTACTCAGGAGGCTGACGCAGGAGGACGGTTTGAGCCCAGGAGACAGAGGTTGTAATAAGCCAGGACTACACTACTGATCTCCAGCCTGGACAGCAGAGCCAGGTCCCATCTCAAAAAAAAAAAAAGCTGGGGGAAGGATGGAGGGAGGAAGGAAAAAAAGAATGTTTCAAAATTATAGTAAATCACTAAATTCATTTATGTGTCATTTCATCTTTCTGAGTTAAAAGTAACTGACATTTTGGTTAGTAAATGCAATGTCTGCAGCTGAAATACACAAGTTTGGATATTTAAATTAAATTAGGGCCAGGAACAGTGGCTCACGCCTGTAATCCCAGCACTTTGAGAGGTTGAGGCAGGCAGATCACCTGAGGTCAGGTGTTCATGACAACCCTGGACATGATGAAACCCTGCCTCTACCAAAAATACAAAAACTAGCTGGGTGTGGTGGCAGGTGCCTGTAATCCTAGCTACTCAGGAGGCTGAGGCAGGGGAATCGCTTGAACCCGGGAGGTGGAGGCTGCAGTGAGGTGACATTGGGCCACTGCACTCCAACCTGGGCAACAGAGCGAGACTCCATCTCAAAAAAAATTAATTAATTAATTAAATTAGGTTGTTTTCTACAGTAAAATGAAATTTTATTAAGGAACACATAAAAGAACATGGAATATATTTATGAGGTTAAATTTTTTTAAAGTTTTTTTCTTAAGCTGAACCATAATTGAGAATTTTATCAACCCACTACCCTTTAAAGGGTGTGCTTTCTATGTTTTTCCCCAGGTCAATTTTCTTTTCCTAGCCTCTTCTTTTTTTTCAGATGGTGTCTCGCTCTGTCACCCAGGCTAGAGTGCAGTGATGTGATCTCGGCTCACTGCAGCCTCCACCTCCCACCTTAGCCTTGCGAGCAGCTGGGACTACACGAATTTTCTTTCTCTTTTCTTTTGAAATGGGGTCTTGCTCTTTTGCCCAGGCTGGAGTGCAGTAGTTCAACCAAAGCTCACTGTAGCTTCAACCTCCCCGGCTCAAGCAATCCTCTTACCTTAGCCTCCCAAGTAACCGGGACCACAGACATGCTCCACCATATGTGGCTGATTTTTAATTTTTGGTAGAGATGGAGTCTCTCTATGTTGCTCAGACTGGTCTCAAACTCCCAAGCTCAAAGACTCCTCCTGCCTCAGCCTCTGAAATTGTTGGGAATACTGGTGAAAGCCACCCTGCTTGGTACCCCAGGACAAGTTTCAAACTCCTAAAAGATCCACGTTGTGGGCCGGGCACGATGGCTCATGCCTGTAATCCCTGCACTTTGGGAAGCTGAGGCGGGTGGATCACTTGAGGTCAGGAGTTTCAGACCAGCCTGGCCAACATGGTGAAATCCCATGTCTACTAAAAATACAAAAATTAGCTGGGCGTGGTGGCATGTGCCTATAGTCCCACCTATTCGGGAGGCTGAGGCAGGAGAATCACTTGAACCCAGGAGGTGGAGGTTGCACTCAGCCAAGATTGCACCACTGCACTTCAGCCTGGGCGACAGAGAGTGAGACTCCATCTAAAAAACAAAAAACAAAAAAACAAAGAAAAACAAGAGATCCATGTTTTTGTTCCACTTTTTTTAAGGGGAAGCAAGGAAGGGACTGGTAAGGGAGGGGAGAACTGAGGTAGGACTGCAGAGAAGTAGATAGCACTTTCTACTAAATGTCAACACTGAAATAACTATCAGAAGAGTCAAACTCCTACATAAACTATTTTTAAAAGGTAAAAGTTTCTTAAAAATCAAATCCTAGGTGAAATGGCTCTTTGATGGCCTAAAGAGTACTTAAAATAAGTTCTTACCTGGGCACTCGTGGATCATGCCATGTGCTCACACCAGTCTGTGTATGTAGGAAATACACCTGACCTTGTTGTGTTGTCCTCTGTTCTGTAAAATTAATAAACACATAATAAAAACATTCAGAATGTCCAGATCAAAGACAGTTATATACACTAAGATGCTACACTAATAGGGAAAAAATTCCAAATTACGAATCTATTTTATTTATTTATTTATTTTTATTTTATTTTATTTTATTTTTGAGACGGAGTTTCGCTCTTGTTACCCAGGCTGGAGTGCAACGGCGCGATCTTGGCTCACCGCAACCTCCACCTCCTGGGTTCAGGCAATTCTCCTGCCTCAGCCTCCTGAGTAGCTGGGATTACAGACACGCGCCACCATGCCCAGCTAATTTTTTGTATTTTTAGTAGAGACGGGGTTTCACCATGTTGACCAGGATGGTCTCGATCTCTTGACCTTGTGATCCACCCGCCTCGGCCTCCCAAAGTGCTGGGATTACAGGCTTGAGCCACCGCGCCCGGCCCTATTTTATTTATTATTAAAAAAAGCTTTACAAATCATTTGTTCTGTCCTTTGGAAACAATTTTATAAATCATGAGGGCCACAGGCCAGCTATCCAAAAGTAAACTAAACTTAGAAGGTGGCTCAAATACTAAATATGTTGCAATGGAAAACAAATCAAGATTGTCACAATACTAATAATTAAAACATTTTAAATGATGTAGAAAAGGCTCTGAGGAAGAGGCTGGCCAACATTAGGAAGATTTGAGGAGGAACTTCCAGAAACTTTCAAAGAGTTTGGAGGTTGCTGATGCTTATTATGCCTAATTTTATACCAAAACTTATGTTTTCTCTTTGATGGACAAAGGTGTATTCTCAAGATTACATGTGAGCTCAAAGAGAAGCAAAACAGATGAGATACTAGGGAGACATTCTATGTCATAAACAGGTAGATATGCAAAAATAACCAAGTTAGAAAGAAGAGGACTAAAGAGCAAACATGCACACTGGGGAGAAAAAGTCAAGAATTAAATGAACTCAAAGCCCTTGGAAAGAGAGAGGAAAGGCCGGGGTGAAGAGAACAATCTAAAAAGGTTTCTTTATGGTGGGTTTTTTGTTTTGTTTTCTTTTTTTAAAAAAAAAAACAACAGGATTACTTTTCTTTAAACAAAGTCTAATGAGAAACTTCAATACATAAAACAATAAAACTATTAGTAATATTTATTAGTAATAAATCTAATTTGTTTATAAACCTATAAAGTCAATACATTTGAACTTTAAACTTTTAAAAATTATAAGCATAAAATCATATTATAGAGGACAGCCATAATAATTTCAGCCTTAGTATCCACTTTATTTGTATGTTTTGGTTGTACTTTTTAAACCCAAATCACAGAAATATTGTAAAAGTATAACCACTCCCACTCCAAAGAGCTTGCCTTATAATCTCAAAGAGAAATGGCAGGAGAGAATTTATTCTCAGGTCTAAACATTAATAATAACAGTTAAAATTTGCTGTGCCAGACACTGTGCCAGCATTTCATGAGATTATATATCACTGATTTCTTGCAACAAACCTAGATGGTTGGTGCTATTATTTTCCCCTACAGGGGACAAAACTGAGGCCAACGAGGTTAAATAATGGGCTGTGTTGCATGGCAAAGCCAGGATATGAACATAGGTCTCTCTGTCTCTCAAGCCAATAATTTAGTATGTGCTAAAAGTTAACCTTTGAGTCATTGCACAGTTAACGCACAAATTTTTTCAAATTAAAGAGCTAAAATACATTTTAAAATAAAGTTAGAATCATGCATTTGCAGGAGAGTTTTTCAAAATATTCCTGAGTAAAATAAAACTTGGCTTTTTTTTTTTTGAGATGGAGTCTTGCTCTGTGGCCCAGGCTGGAATACAGTGGCACAATCTTGGCTCACTGCAACCTCTGCCTCCTGGGTTCAAGCAATTCTCCTGCCTCAGCCTCCTGAGCAGCTGGGATTACAGGCATGTGCCATCATGCCTGGCTAATTTTTGTATTTTTAGTGGAGATGGGGTTTTCACCATGTTGCTCAGGCTGGTCTCGAACTCCTGACCTCATGATCCGCCTGCTTCAGCCTCCCAAAGTGCTGACATTGCAGGTGTGAGCCACTGCACCTGCCCTACCTTACCTTCTATACGGTGCCTATTTACAAAATGGTCTCACTTCATTTCATATGCTCTTCATACTATCTTTGTTATAAGGTAGTCATCTCACTTCATCCCAAAAGAGCACAAACGCTGAAGTTAAATGACTAGTGCAATGTCAAACTGTTGGTTAGATCGTCCTCCACCACTTCAAAGACTTTCAAACTTGGGAGGTTTTATATTTATATTCATGCAAAATCCCTAAGCCCAGATTAATAACTTTCTTCAAAACTGATTTTCTGACTTCCTCAGCAAGCTGAATTCAGTAAACTACATTATATTTTTCTTTTGCTAGTTGTCATACCATAGCCTTCTGGTAGGTCTGGAGGAGTATGTAAATGTGTCCTGCTCATGTAATTTCTATGTCGTTGTGACCTGACTCTTCTCTCAGCCAGTCTGGGATCTGAAGACTGTCCACATGTTGCACCATTTGTTCCACTAATTGGAGTGTTCTCATCAACAAAGCAGCTAAGAGGTCTGCCAGGGCTAGAATACTCAGATGCCGGTCTATTGAAAATTAACAAGAAAAAGACATTATCAATTTAGATATCAAAAGTAGCGTTCTCTAGACACTGTACACTACAGTAACAATCACTTATCATATCTGAAAACAGAATGACTAATACAAGTATAATGACTTCAAGAACTCTGAGTGAAAGCAAACCTGATGTCTCTTAAGTACCAAACAAACCCAAATGATAAGCATGTCGTCAACTATGTATTTAAATGACTTTATTTTAATTACATTTGATATAAAATCTACATATATCTGTGGATGTGAGTACTGGCTTACAAAACACTGCTTGATCTAACTACAGTCTTTCTCTCAGACCTGACTTCCCACCATTCTCCTTCCCACTCTGCTTCTGCCACACTCACATCTTCCTGTTCCATGAGCTTGCCAAGGTCACTCCACCTGAGAGCAGTTGCTCTTCCTTCCACCTGGCATATTCTTTTCTCCTACTTTCCCTAGGCCTGGCTCTTTTTTGTCATTCCAACCAGTTTATTATTGCCTCCCAAGAGGTCCTTCAGACCTCTCAATCTAAAAATGTCACCCAGTCATTTGGCAATACATCACAAAACGAAAGAAGACAGTTTGTCTCTTTAAGGATGTTCTAGTCTACTATTGCAGATCTTCCAAAAAAAAAAAAAAAAAATCAAGAGTTCATTCTTAAATTAATATGGCCAGGTGTGGTGGCTCACACCTGTAATGCCAACACTCTAGGAGACCGAGGCAGGCTGATCACTTGAGGTAAGAAGTTTGAGACCAGCCTGGTCAACATAGCGAAACCTGTCTCTCTTAAAAATACAAAAATTAGCCAGGCGTGGTGGCAGGCACTTGTAGTCCCAGCTACTCAGGAGGCTGAAGCATGAGAATCGCTTGAACCTGGGAGGCAGAGGTTGCAGCAAGCCGATGTCATACCACTGCACTCCAGCCCAGGGCGGAACTCCATCTCAGAAATAAATAAGTAACATTTAAGACAACAATCATCCTTTCACAAATGATGAAATTAATTTTACTGGTTAAATCAGAAGGAAATGGACTTTACTTGAACACTGACACAAGTACATGTTCATTTATGCTCAAATATAATAAAAATGAATACTTCAATTAATTTCCTGGCAATTTAATACCAGAAATGCAACTTGGCAACATGAGCTAAGCTTTCATCTGAGAATCATAAAGTAAAACAGAAAACTTTGTGATCCAATGAGTTAAGCAATTTGTCCTCAATAAATAAAAATAGGTGCAGCTAATGAGAAGAATTTGGTATTTTATGCCTAGTGCCAGTCCTGCTCAAGAGGAGGGAAATAGGAAAAACAAAACACTGCACAAGATGGCAAATTCTGTTCTCACTTAAAAGAGTGGGGAGAGGGGGATTCAGCCACTTAGACTATTTCTTTTCAGTTATTTAAAAAACATCTCTTCACAGTTTCCAAAAATTATCTTAGATCCCAATGCCTTTATACATTAGGTTCCATGAAATGACTATACTTGACATTCTTCAAGATTTAGTTCAAAGATTCCTCTGCTTAACTTACCAATTTAATTCATTCAATAATTTTTTTTTTTTTTTTTTGAGACTGAGT